AATCGTTGTTAAAACGAATCGTTACACCCCTACTATCAATATTATATATACTATTTTATTTAGATCCTTCTTAACATTACACACTAGGCCTTTAATCCTGGTTAAAGATTTTAGATATTATCTGTACTCACCAGTGTTTGGTCGATATTCTGCTGTGTAGTTTGTCTAGGAGTGTAGGAGTCTTGCTGTTTACAGAGATCAGAACAACGAGATGTGTCTCAGCTGCAGCACTCTTCTTACTAGTAGAAACTTTCAGTTTCATTTGTGGAGTCTGACGTTGAGGCTCACCTGTCTTTCCACTGTTGCTCCACCTCTTATTTATATTATGTTGGTGACCTTTTGTTCCCTGTTTCAGGTGGATTATAGTGATATATTTTTGGCACAAAATAAATTCATAAGGGGAGCGCAGTATCTAAACTTTATTTGTGCACAATGTGGTTATTGGAGACATTTTAAAATGTCTTGCAATGAGAGTCTATAGCAAACAATAGAACATTTTGTACTATTTGTGTTACTTGTATTCTCTTCCACTGGGATAGCTTTGTAGGAATTATGATAGCTCTTCGTTTCAAACATATTACCTCTCATACCTCATATTACCCAATACATTAAACAAATTTGAGCTAAATTTGGACAGAACTTGCAGACTGACAGTATGCAATGAATGCTAATTCTCTACTATCAAAAGGAAGGAAACTACTAGAGATATCAGTATTGGGGCCAATCCAGCCATATTTGTATTTATTTGTTTGTTTGTTTGTCAGCAACAATTAAAACATTTTTGCCAGGGCTGACTTGCAACCCCTCTCCTTGTTCAGGATTTTCTGCTTTAAAAGGTCATAACATATCATCATCAATACCAAAAGTACAAAGACCACATAATAAAGAGAGAGACATTCTCATACATGTGACCTGACCATATATTATTTTAATGGATCATATCAGTTGAAGTAATCATATTCTCACTGTGGCCTGTGTACTCTGTGTACTAGATATTTTGTGAGGGCAGAATCTATGTGTTACACTGTCACAAGTGGACATCTGTAGTTCCAACACCTCCAAAAGAGTAATACCTCCTCTCTCAAACTGATTGTGTCACGTCAGTTTCAGGAGTCACGTTCTCCCTGTAAAACCTTTATACATATCATACCAGTAATATAAAGTTGTAAACTAAATAATAAAAGTTAGCACCAGGACCCTCAGACTTTGGATGAATTTGCATGTAAAAAACAAGGTGTGTCATATTATGTAGGCTTCAGCTGTAAGTATCGAATCAGACTCTAGATGACTCTTTAAAAAACTTAAACCCTAAACTACCCTATATCAAACTATGCTACTCTATAGTATACAATACTATATTATAATATGCTACACTATACTGTAACAATAAAAAAAAAAAGACAAAAGGTGACGGTGGATGTCAGGTGTACAAGCCACAGGATCATGACACCAAAACCTGTATTTGAATCCTGAAACCCTCATATGGTCTGGTCAAGACTACAAAAACACTTTGTTTAAGATTAGGAGAAGATCCTGATTTTGGCTAAATATTTTATTAAAAACCAAACATGTCTTGTGCCACCACTGAAGTTTTCAACGATCTTTCCTGCACCTTAAACAAGTGCTCTGAGTTGCCTAAACATTAACACAAAAACGAGATTCATGCATTAGTTGCCGCAGGTTGATATTGTAGGAAACCTTACAACAGCTGTTCCTTTTCATTTTGATTAAAAATGTAATCGTGTGGCAGTATGCTTATTTAAAAACGTATTTGCTGTTGCACATTGTATATAAACGTAATATTTAGGAGGTTTAGGAGGACACACAACTGTGTACAAACTCTCCAGGTTAACATTCTCTTGTTCGAGCTGTTCTTGCTGCTTTTCTATCAATGCAACTTCAATATCTTTGGAGCGGACAAAACAAGCAAATGGAAGACAACCTCTTGGGTAATAATTTTCTCACATTTCATAAGCTGTGTTTTTAATGAGATTGTATGCAGGTGGTTAATGAAGGTAATCCTTCGTTGCAGCCCTACAGAGGAATGTACCTAAACAGACAACACCCTGAATGACTGGTTCTACCTGTTCCAAAGTGTCAATCCTTCATAATGAATCATAGTCTTGCATGTTTTCTTGCACTGCCTTATATCTGCTACCGTCTGTGTTGAATTACAATTTTTCTCCATTGAGTTTAACTGCTTGTTCCAAATGTGTTTTCCTGTCACACCAAAAAGAGGTACAGCAAATTTAATCAGCGCCTCTTTGTGATTTATGATTTGATTTATTGTGTTTAAAAATAAGATTGCTTGGCTAAAGAATTTTTGTACATTTTTAATAAATTATAATATAATAGGCCTATCACTTTGTACTTTATACTGTGTCCTGCTTCAGTTGGTTTATTGTATATAGACCTGCACTGAATTTTGGCTTTGATACTCTTTGATGTGGTTTGATGGAGGTTTGATGTGGTCATTAACTAATTATTATGTATATTATATCAGATTTGCTGACATACAGAAAGTAAGTCATTGCAGAGTCACAGTCGGTCCTCCTTTTGAGGTATGCATTTTTAATGTTTGAAATTTTACAAACTCCTTAAAATGGTAAAATGAGAAGTTAAACATCAGCAATTTAATAAATGTTACAAAACATTTGAAAAAACGTCATCATATTATTATCTATGATGGTGTTCTTTTTCAATGAAAACCAATGTTAAACTTGACACAAACACAAAGACATAACCGTTCACCTGCTGTTAAATCTTCATTTGAATAATTTTCATAAAATCAGGAAGATGATGCTTGGACAAGTAGGCAAAAACAGAGGTCAAAAAGTATGCCAAACAACATAAGTTAACTCTGCAATATATACATAAGAAAAATATCAAAGCTTGTATTGGAATCTGTGGTGTTTTGACTTTTAAAGACCGCTATAGATTAAACTACATTATCATTATCAATTCCATTATTTGTTATCAAATTATTGTGTTGCAGTAGTCAGTAGCAATGTAATGTATCATAAAGATGGTAAAATCCACATTAATTATAATGAATGAATGAATGAAAAACTCTGTACCACTATATGGACATTTGCTACACTTACAAGAACTTTGTCTAAGTAGGGTTGACAGGACAGATGATCAGAGGGGCGGAGTTTTTACCACCCTGATTAAAACAGGGGTTGAAGAACGGGAGGACTTTTTCGGTGAAGGAGCAGCTGGTGAAGGCATGGATGAAATTTGCAGCATCCACATCATAGAAGGAGACCAGACCCTCCTCATAATCCACAAACACCCCCACCTTCTCAGGCTGAGACTGCAGAGAGAGACGGACTGGAGGGTCAGCAAGAGCACAATACACATTATCATTCCTCAGACATACAGTCCAGCAACCGTTCTTAGAGTTAATAGTGATTAACCCCTTTCTGTTGATTGACTCTCTGGCAACTCCTACAACCCAATCAGTCTTCCCTTTAACCTGAACCTCGAAGTAAAATCCTGAAGAATTGATCTGCTTCCCTAAGACACAGGTACAATGAGAAAATCTCTCTGGGTTATCTGGGAGATCCTTCTTTACATCACTGTGATGGACTTGTTTCCCATCTTCAGACAAAATGAGTTTGGGATTTGCTGTATCAGGATCAAGTGTCACATCCACTGCAGACTGCTGGACCGTCTTGAGCTCAGCCTTTGGGAATAGCTTCTCCATGTCATGTTTAAGTATCTCCAACATCTTAACAACAGCTGGCCTCACATTCCCCTCATATGAAGGTGGACAGGGTATGCTCTCTTTCCAGTCTTTGGTTTGTGGAGCAGCATGCAGAGAAGGGAAGTTTTGGAGGAGGTTAAGGTGGTCTTTAGAATGTAAGAGCTGCTTCAGCTCAGCACTTCTCTTCTTCAGCTCAGAGATTTCCTGTTCCAGCTCTTTGATGAAGTCTTCAGCCTGTTTCTCTGTCTTTCTCTGCTTCTCTTCAATCATCTCAGAGACTTTGACCTGTTTTTTCTCAATAGCCTCCTTCAGCTTGGTGAAGACATGAACACTAACCGCTTTCTCTCTGTCTGCATTTTCCCTGCTGACCTTGACTGAATGTTGGATCTCT